GGTTTTGGGCTTTACCTAAGTATAATAATTAATGAAATGAACGATTTGGAAGAGAAGTACATTGAAAATTCTGGAAAATGACATCTTATTAAACAGTCTTAGCAATTTACGTCCATTTTTATGAAAACAAGCTATACAATCGCGAAAACTCATGACACCACTAATTTTAGCATTCCAAATTGTTTTGATTAGCTCCCTTTTTCATAATAAGATCTATATACATGTCACACTTCCGTATTGATTTTTACATACACTTACATAATGAGAAATTGTCCCGTTACCTACCTTTACATTGAGTTTTTATGTTAAAGATGTGATGTGTTCAGGCGATTGAAATGTACGGCAAATAAAATTGATTTTTTTATATACGGATAGCCAGTGTTTTGTTTTCCAAATTACTTCAAAGGGAATATGACCCCCTCTCATTGAAATGTTCTGCTGATCACACGTCTGACATACATTTCTTTAAATGTAACTATCAAAGTGACAAATTATCCTGAGACTTATGAAAATATTTCATTTTCTTTAAAAAACAATATAGTGTTAGCTTCTAAAACAGATTTGATGTTTTTCCCTGATGACCCATTGAATCTTAAGATTTGTTTTCAGCCAATCGCTGGCCATGATACAATACAATAGCCCGACCGAACGCGTTTCCGAATTGTATTGGCTCTTCCATGTTACTCCAGCGTTTTTAGTACCATTATATTCTAAACTTTGTTAGTGTCCAACTTAATTTGTCATCCAATGAAAACGCTGTATTTCTGTGCGTTAATTTTCATAGAAGAACAGAAGTCGATACTATATCGAATTCGTCCATAGTCGACTTCTATTTTTCATAGTACTTCATAGAACCGCATAGTGACGTAATAAAGTGAATGATAATGAGGACACTAAATATGTTAGTATTCATCCGTGCTGTTCTACAGAAATTAGAAACATTCTCCTGTCGCTATCGCTCCCGTCGAAGTTTCTAATTTCTGTAGAACAGCACGGATGAACACTAACATATACATAGCTTTATTTCCGTGAGGTCGATTTTGTTTACAGGTCTATATTCGCTTGTCATCGTTATGACAGTGATTTAGATAAAATGTTTTCATGCAGTAAACATATCTAAAATTGATGTTCATAATCGTCACCATAGTGCAGTAACCAGTTAACTCCTATTAAATTATATAAGGAGTTAACCCGTACTGCACTTAGGTGACGGTATGTTTGCTAATAACACTTGCTAATTATCATAAATGATATTCTAGTGGCATGTCCATTTAATTTTACAAAACAATGTGATGATCGGAAGATAAAATTGTCAGTATTTATGTGTATTTACTTCGTACACTTTTTTTAGGTTACTTAAACAAAAAATCAACTCGAACTCTTTCAAAGAAAACAAAGAATTTATTTAAAATATCAGTTACAAATGTGTCACTGCATTTCAAGTGCTCGCCCTCGACCTCATTTTAAGAATCTGAAAAAGAAATGTGACTATAACTTGATAAAAAAACATAAAATTTTCTGTCTAATTTTCTACTTTATTATACATTTCTAAATAATTATGAAAATTAGCATGAATATGGAGGCATGCTGTTTCAAGCTATAACTAGATATTCTAATACTTTAGTGTAGATTAGTTTATACAAATTTATTTTAGTTCGATTGTAATGGAAGCTACTTATTGAAACACTTTCGAGTCATTTCTTGGAACCAACCAGTACTCTTATACTTTATTTTTGTTTGAAAGTTTATTCGCTCGTCTGGCAAGACATTTTAACATGCTGACTTTCTTCATTTGATTTGATTAGTCTCCATTTCTTCAATTACCAATTTAGGAGATAACACAATGCTAGTCAGCCAAAATTATAGAGCCCGGTTAGACATCAGTGCAGTCATAAACCCCTAATAGACCATCGTGCAGTCAAAGCGCCAGAGAAGCCCTCCGTGCAGACATAGACACCTTATATATAGACCTCCGTGCAGTCATAGACAACTAGTAGACCTCCGTGCAGTCATAGAGTCCATTTTGACCTCCGTGCAGTCATTGAGCCCACTTAGACCTCCATGCAGTCATAAAAACCAATTAGAACTTCGTGCAGTCATAGAACCCGATTAGACCTCCGTACAGTCATAGATACCAATTAGACCTCCGTGCAGTCAAAGAGACCAATAAGACCTCCGCGCAGTCATAGAACCCAATTAGGCCTTCGTGCAGTCATAGACACATAATAGACCTCCGTGCAGTCATAGAGTCCACTTAGACTTCCGTGCAGTCATAGAGACCAATTAGATCTTTGTGCAGTCATAGAACCCAATTAGACCTCCGTACAGTCATAGAGTCCAATTAGACCTCCGTGCGGTCGTCGAGCACGATTAGATCTCCATACAGACATAGAGACCAATTAGAGCTCCGTGAATTCACAGAGCCCGCTTAGACTTACGTGCAGTCCAATTAGACCTCCATGATATCATAGACATAGAGCACGATTAGACCTGCATGTCGTCATAGAGTCCAATTAGGCCTCCGTGCAGTCATACTGTCCGCTTAGACCTCCGTGCAGTCATAGACCCCTAATAGACCTCCGTGCAGTCATAGAGACCAGTTAGACCTCTGTGCAGTCAAAGAGTCCGATTAGACCCCGATGTTGTCAAAGAACCCGATTAGACCTCCGTGCAGTCATAGAGCCCGATTAAATCTCCGTGTAGTCATAGAACCCGGGTAGATCTCCGTGTTGTAATTCAGTACGATAAGACCTCCTTACAGTCATAGAGCCTGGTGAAACCTCTGTTCAGTCTAAACGGACTCTACAATATTGGCTGACCAGAGGCTGGAATCTATTTTTCAAACCTAGCAAATCATTATAGATGTTGAACTAAGCATTTTAACCAGTATAATATAAAACCAGATCTGGTCCGCATAACGTTCATGAAATAGATGAGTCAATATTTTGAGTAAATTTGAACTAACGTTGGTTTTTAAAAGTAATAATACTCTACCATGAATATCTTCATACCAAGCAATATGCCCTAATAAACGCCCCAAGTCCTACAGCATGCTTTCATGCCGAAGCGCCTGACAGCCCGCCTGCCGCAAACCCTCGGCCACAGGTATCGAAAAGCATACTCCTCATACAATGGCGCCCGGTACACACAACGCCTTCGGCACACGTAGCTGTAGCAAACACCTAAAATACAGGATAATACACGAATTTAAAATTCAAAATGATGACTTGATTAGTGAATCAAACTACTGAAGATCCATCTGGAAGCAAAATGGCAAAAGTCTATTTACCAAGGCACCAGGGCAAAACATAGTAACTGTATAAAGTCTATTTACCGAGGCACCAAGTATTAAGTCTGTTTACCAAGGAACCAGGGTAAAACATTGTTACTGTATAAAAATCTGGAAACAAAGTGATCCCTCGGAAGCATTTATCACAACAAAATTACAAGAGAATTGCAGACTCGGTTAAAGGCTATGTACCAAGGCACCAGGGGTTAACTTAGTCACTGTATAAAGTCTATTTAACAAGGCACCAGGGCAAACAAAGTAACTGCCTAAAGTCTTTTTAAGGCACCGGGTGTAAACTTAGTCACAGTATTAAGTCTATTTACCAAGGCACCAAGGGTGAACTTGGTCATTGTATAAAGTCTGTTTACCAAGGAACCAGGGTAAAACATTTTAACTGTATAAAGTCTATTTACCAAGGCACCAAGGGTTAACTTAGTCACTGTATAAAGTCTATTTACTAAGACACCAGGGCAAAACATAAGTTTAAAGTCACCAGGGGAAAATGGTGTCACTGTTCAAGTCTATTTACCAAGGCACCAGGGCAAAACATAGTAACTGTATAAAGTCTATTTACCAAGGCATCATGGCAAAACATAGTATCTGTTTAAAGTGTTTTTAGGCACCGGGGAAAACTGGGTCACTGTTCAAGTCTATTTACCAAGGTATCAGGGCAAACATAGTAACTGTATAAAGTCTATTTACCAAGGCACCAGTTTAAAACTGAGTCACTCTATAAAGTCTATTTACCAAGGCACCAGGTGAAAACTGAGTCACTGTTCAAGTCTATCTACCAAGGCACCAGGGATAAACTTTGTCACTGTACAAAATCTAAAAAACAGGTAAACGGACTTACTGAGTTAACGTACAAACACTAAACACTAAATGAGCGTCATGACAAAACCAACATAATGGGTTTGCGACCAGCATGGATCCAGACCAGCCTGCGCATCCGCGCAGTCTGATCAGGATCCATGCCGTTCGCTATCAGTTTCTCTACTTGTAATAGAGTTGGTAAGCGAACAGCATGGATCCTGATCAGACTGTACGGATGCGCAGCCTGTCTGGATCCATGCTTGTCGCAAACGCATTATGTTGGTTTTGTCGTGACGCGTCTCAAATACAGTCAAACCAGTAATAAAAGCCATAATTTGACAAACCTTCATTGATTAAATACATCAGAGTAACCTCCAAATAAAAACCACGTGTCCATGAAAAACCAGGTTCGGTCACTCATTTGGATTACCTTTGATCACAGGTTTGACAGCATATCCATATCGTTCATTGAATGGTAGCTTTCATAAGTCTAACTACTGTTAAAAATCAAGACAAGATATACGTCCACTTTACAAAACGTGTAACTTAAAAGGCATTGATTGCATAATAATTACACAAAATCCAAAGTAAAACATCATCTACAACCTAAATTAAGATCTTTTGCGAAGCCACAATCCATCCACTTCATCGTCTATAGCTGCCACAAGTTCCTAAATGCAGCATTTAAATGAAGAGCATGTTTACTGGTAGTACATTAATAGAAAGTTTTAAGAATTAATACCCCTGTACATAAAATATTGAAATAAATAAAGTATAAAACTATACTCATATTTTTCTTTGCACAAGAAGCGCACAGACACTTGGGGTTTGGAGCTCAAAACACCTTTAAAATCCAAATAAAATGCATAGTTGTCAATCCAAGCACATGTACTGATCATATATATATATATAAAAACTTAATATAAGCCGTTTTGAAAAAATTTCATATTTCAACATCTATAATAAAAATAATACACAAGATAAAAATGTTCGCCGGAAAAAATCCACAACCCTACCGTCATAATCACCATGTACTAGTATTTTATTCCATTTCCAATATTTTCACATAATCCTTTGGTCCATCGACACAGAAGATATAATTCTTCACGATGATGGTCAATTTTAAACTTTTTAAACATTTTTTTATCTCATGTATTATTATAGACGTTGAAATATGAAATTTTTTCAAGACGGCTTATATTAAGTTTTTTGATATATATGACCAGTACATATGCTGGGATTGACAAATATGCATTTTATTTGGATTTTAAAGGTGTTTTGAGCTCCAAACCCCAAGTGTCCGTGAAGAAGCGTGGTTATCACTTAATCCTGTTTCTTCAATCAACAAACAAAATATGATTTTGACATAAAATGTAGTTCCAATCACATAAAAAATCCACATAAGGACACGTTGATAATTGACAAGGTAAAATTCCCCAAGACACGAAATCCATCGTTCCACAAGTCATCAAATCACTCTATTTCAATATATAGTCAACTCCACTTAAAACGAACTTGCTTATAACGAATTATCGTTAATAGCGAACTTAATCTGACATCCCCGGCCGATTCCTTCTTTATTTTATATTAAATCACATCGCTTATAAGTTAATACGTACCCGCTTAAAACGAATTTTAGACTATAGCGAACCATTTTCTCAAATCCAAAATGGCGAAAAACTTACCTTCAACTGAGGACATTTGTAAAGCCACGAGACTGCACAGGATAGTAATGATCAAACATTTTGATTCCATCTTGAACAATGCTTTTTGCAAGCTATTAAACTGCCCGAAGACACTTCTCACACAATTGAGACACACTGCAGTCTGACTAATCTGTTTCAATACGTATTATATTTCCACGATTTGTTTCGTCTGCGCCGCCGGATTGATGGATAATAATGAGCAAGCGTTGCTTAATTATCTTTTAAGTGTTTTTCTTCTTTCCAAATCGTTTTTAGAAATTATGCACGTTTGTCGTCTTGGTATATTAATAGGTTTTGTACAGAATCGATGTTTAGTATGCAGCTCATCATTTTAAAGTTGATTTTAAGTAGGTTTCTAATGCAAACAATGGTAAAAAGCAATACTGTATGACATTGACTTATGGAGAAATACGTTAACAGTGACAATGAGCAAATAGACGTAAGAAGATTGTGTAAATGTGATTGGTGGGGAAGCAAAAGAAGTCATGATCGGTGCAGAAAGTTTTGTTAACATTAGAGGCCATACAAGATGACGCTTCGTCATATGCAGCAATCTGGTAAAAGTAATAGCTGTTTGATATGATCAGTCTTTTTTAAAGTACATGCATTATCCTAATGTTTGAAGTTTTTATGGTTTGTAAAACTTTATACCAACAAATACGCCTAAAATGCTTCAACCTGAATCGCAGACCAAGGTTTGGGAAGATAACAGCATACAATACCCTTTGGACACCTTTTGTAGCCTTTTCAATGTATATAGTCGTCTAAAAATCATTTTTAAACATGTCCTAAACAATTTGCTTTTGCATAAAGATATATTATGCTCATTTTTGAGTAAAATATCTTTATAGCAGATCTTTATTGAAATCCATGAAATTCTTTCTGAATATGTCTAATTTGAATAAAAGAATGTACTAAATATATATGCGAAGCCGTGTTACTTACTACACTCGAAGTGAAGTTGGTTCTTTAGAAAAAATACTGCCAGTGTTTTAATGATACAACATATTCATATTGTGAACACGTCTTAAAGACGCAGTTTGCCCCACTTTTGTAATTCTTTGGAAACGTCAATCATGCGTTTAATAATGTTTCAACAATGGATTAAGAACATTTTAGATGTTCAACTACTGAAGAAAGTAGAGCTTAGCGTTCAGTAATATGCCAATAATGCAGTAAAAAGCAAACGGAAGCAGAATTCGGAATGACTTATAAAATACTAAATCACTCTATTTTAACCAATTGCCAACGCAAAGGTAGTTCGTCAATATGGTCAATGAGTAACAAAAATGAAAAGGCTTTGAAAATAAAGAAATGAAAGCATTTCTTATTTAAATGGACCTTTAAGATAAGTATAACTTCCAATTCAAAGTTTCTTGAAACAGCTAAATATTGTTAACATATCATCGCGGAAAAAAATTAATTATTTATACCCTCTGGCATCGTTAAATGTCAAACTATGATTAAAGTAAACAAAATTAAAAATGTTTGTCTATATGCGTTGATTTATTTAAGGTTCGTAACATCATATCCTAACGAATATTCAATTATTTAAATTAATCATATGAGTGATAAGTATATTTTACAAAACATTCAAAATTGATATGCCATATATCATACAATCTACTCCACTATTTTCGGCGAATTGCCTTATATACAATGTTTCATTTATTTATATAAGCGTCTCATTAACTAGGATTAATTATTATTCCCGGTCATGATGTGTTGTCAGTAAGAAACGGAAAGAGGTGAAATATGTCAGATATGTGGTTGTAGCCAATGGCCTCGATACAGTCGGTGCCAAGTGGTTATGGTCTTTGACTTCAAACCACTTGCCCAACACCCGGCATTATTTTAGGCAAGAACGGGCACCTGAATAGAACCACCGACGTTCCGTATAAGCTAGCTGGATAGCTTCCTCACAGAAAGAATCAAAGGCCCTGTCGGATTCGAGCCCACAGCGATGAGGGCTAATTGGTAAATTAAATGATAATATTGTTTCTCCTCTTGGGGCTACAAAAGCATTGCACGACATATTGTTCTTTCTACAAGGCAGTTTCATCATACACAAATGTACTTTCACTACAATGATTGTATTACTTGTTTTGGTGTGAGCTACAAGTGTAAGTGTAGCCCTGTAAGTGTAGCCCTGTAAGTGTAGCCCTGACAGTGGTTTTTCTTAATACTTACATAAAAAAGACTTTTACAAAGAGTCCAGCTTTACACTGCCAATTCAGTCAAAACTTATTTGCCAAACCTTTTGGGTTTGTTGGAGGGAAGGCCCAGCAAGTGAGCGAGTTCTTGTGTAAAATCACCAATCGCTAGGCTAGTTTGACAGGAGTCCTCATAATTTAATGATTCGAAGTCTTTGACCAAATTCTAAATATTATTAGTCAGGGTCATGAACAAACGATTAGCAATTAGCTACCTTGAGCAAAAGGCCACGTAGACAGAAAATATACTGTATACATGTATATAATTAATGAGGAACGAAAATCAGTTAAGAAGATTTAATGTATTCTTCGTCAGCATAATTGATGCGATAAATCACTTGGGGGAAAACAACACAAAATCATTTTAACGAAAAAATAAGGATTTATTGTGAAAGATAGTCTGTAAATACATCGTATCATAACAAATGGATGTAAATTGAATTGCAAAACACACAACCAAGAGCCGGTTCCAGTAGTTGCGTTTGTCCCCGAAAGATAATAAATAAAAAAAATTATATGGCCAAGAAGAAATCACGTGATTGCCCCCCACCTCGTCTCGAAAACGTCTGAAAAAGAAAGAAAGAAAAATATTCAGTGACGTTATATTTCTATTATAATCATTATATTGAATATGAAGATTGTCGGCTGATTATATGGCTAAGTGTTGACGTTTTTAAGCTTATGTAATCCATATACTAGTAACGTAAAGTTATATTTTTATTATTATTATATTGTATATACTGTTATATTGCATATGCAGATGTTTTGACTGGTTATATGGCTACGTTTCAACGTTTGTAATCTTATATCATCTATATAGCCCGACCTGCTTATTAACAATTATATATAGCAAATACAACCGCTAAACCACGGTCATATAATTTGCAAAATATATATCAAGTGACGTTATATTGCTGTTATTATCATTATATTACATATGCTTATTGTTTGCTGATTATATAGCTACGTTTCAACGTTTTTACGATAATATAATTCATATACAAGTAACCTTAGCTGCTAGTTTACAACTTAATTTAGGAAAGCAACCGCTTAACCACGATCATATAATTAGCCAAAAGGTTTTCTTGCTAATTTTTAGCATCGTATTTAAGCTTTTTTCATATATATCTTAAAATAAGTCAATAGATACATCGTGTATATTTTGAGTTTTAACGATTTTGACAGGTTATATGGCCCTATGTAAACGGTTGATTGCATCGATTACCCGAGCCGTTTTGCGAGTGTTATATTGCAAACAACCCTTTCTAAACGGTCATATAACCTACCAAGAAACTTTATAATGAAATTATAATACAATAAACTTCTTTTAAAATTTCTTCATTTATTGGCAGCAGTGGCATATATTGTTTATATTTAAATGTTGCAATTATCCAATGAAAAACGACGTTACAAATATGCAGCATTATAAGGATGATATTAACGCTATAGTTGTCCAATGAAAAGTCAGATACTAAACATGCAGCATTATAAATAGTTTCTAAAAGATGAACTATTCAAAGTAAAATCCACAATCGCCTCTTATGCAGATTCAGATTTAAAATAAAGCAGTTATGCTAGCTAAACATCGAAATATGATAATCCTTATCTTTACACTGTCAAGTTACAATTTGCTTTATTTTCAATTTTGAATCAATGATTACGTTTACTCATTCAAAAAACAGAAAAAAATGTGATTTCTTTAGAGTAAAAGAAAACAAAAATGAAATTCGAAGTCTTGATTTCGTGAAGACATTTAATGATAGACGATGTAAAAATTTCACCCTTTTTTCATGCAGTCCCGCAATTGTTTAAAGAACTATTCGAACTTCGAAACAAAAGATATTAAAGTCAATGTCCAAGACGAACCAGAAAAATACACATTACAATGAAAAGCAGCTCATCTGAAGATCTCAACACACACAAAAAATGTTAAGGATTACGGACCCGAAAAGACGACATATTGAAATTTTTTCAAATAATGACGTCACAGTGGAAAAAAACACCCTCTTACGTGACAAAAAATATACTAAAAACAGGTATACGAAAACTGCCCTGGTTTCGGGTTATCACGATACTATCCGACTTTTGCCGATGTTAAATGATTAATTTGGGTCCGTAATCCTTAAACTGTCTTTTTATATTTTTATGAAGGTTTATGTTGACATACCGATATTTTGATAGAGGCACTAATATCGGCCCCAGGTCCTACAACAGGCTTTGATCCCGTAGAATCTCACGGCTCTTTGACCGCAAGCCCTTGGCCAAAGATATCTGAAAGCGTACTCCTCGTAATGAGGTGGTCTGTAGATACATCGTCGCCTACAAACGTAGCTGTAACATATACCTGAAATAGAAAATATAGGTGTAACATATGCCTGAAGTAGAAAATATAGGTGTAACATATGCCTGAAAATACAAAAAAAATAGGTGTAACATATGCCTGAAAATACAAAAAAAATAGGTATAACATATGCTTGAAAATACAAAAAATAGGTAAAAAAGGAATGAAAATTAGATTGATATACGCTTGAACAAAGTTCGAAAATGACAGGAAAAAATATGTAAAAGTGGATTTGAATCGAAACTTTTACAGAGCTTGTAAGGCACTTAGTTTAAACCAATTTATGCAAGTTGTCAGCTTTTTAAATGTGTCACTTCTAAAAAAATATCATTGATACTTGACAAATATCAGCTTTTCGTGAATGAAACAGATCAGATCAGCAATCGCTTGCTGAAATTGCGGTAAACTAAAAAAAAATAATTAATGTAAACAGCATATAAGTATTCTCCTTAGAATAAAACATATTCCGCTTCGCTAATAATTTAACAGTGAAAATTAACACATTTTTATTATTTTCATAAGTTAAAAAAAAAAAATTATCCAGGCAGTTGTGTATGAAATTTGCTATAATTTAATTTTTGAATCTGATGCGCGTAAATCAATATACAGCTATTTGATAAAGAGTCCGACAAAAGTAAAACAAACAAAAGGTAAAAAAAAGAAAAAAATGAAAAAGCGAAAATAGAAGAAAACAGAAAGAAGATAGGTGAGTTAATGATACATCTACTTTTTTATGTGTTTTCATACCAAATATGTAAATATATATGCCACACTTTAATTGAGAGATCCGTCAAAAAATAAGACTGTAACTTTTTCGAGCTGGAAAAATACATCCATATTTCAAAAGCAGTAAAATAATTAGCTAAAATCCCAAGAAAAATCAGAAGGAATCAAACACGTTGTCGCTATTTTTTCTCTCACTTTTTCTCAACAATTAGCCATATTTATAACAGAATGTGTGTTGTTTTTTTTTACCTTCAACAGAACTCATTTGAAGAGCCATCAGACTGCATAGCATAAGAACAATCACAAATTTTGAATTCATCTTGATCAACTTTTCTTTCGATTTCTAAAAAAAAAACTTTCAAAAAGCGGTAGCTCGATGTAATCGCTATCTGGACATATGCTGGTCTAAAACCTTTTTAAATACGCTCAGATAACCCCATCCATTTTCCTTCATTGTTTTTGCTTCGTTGGGTTGATTGATTACAAATCGTATAAACGTAACGTTATTGTTCTTTCTTGACGTTATTTGTATACAAACGAATCAGCGAAAATTTACGTTCGATATTGTGTGGTTAAATGTTGTGAAGCTAACGATAAAAAACTTATGTTATGAAACGCATATTTTCTATATTTAGAAACGTTTAACATGCGTTACGTAACCAATGACTTTAATATCAATGTCACATCAATTTAAAACATTTATTGGAGGAAATAATAAAATACTGCATCAACTATTACGGATGTTACTTAATCAAATGAAGTTTCGGCTCATGACACTGTTTTGCCTTTGCGCGTCACGTTTCCTACTTTTAGCGTATTTTATCAATTTAGGTTCTTTTGACAACAACAAACAAAGGTTCCATATCAGACTGGCTTCGTTCTTATATCAATAAACTTGTATCTTTGATGATATTGATAATAGTTTAATATTGATATGGATAAGTACTACAGCCTTTATTATTATTATTTTTTGTTTATTTAATTAATTGTCATACAAAATCTATATAGTCATTTTGGCTTATTGGTGTGTGTGGTTTTTGACCACATAAAAAATGAAATGGTATAATAAAGTGATAAAAGTACTAAATAATTTGTCACGAACGACGTGTTGTGGTGTAAAACATTAGTGAATGTGTATTAAACATGCATTGTAACAATGACGAGGAAAGTCGTAACCACACACTTGGACAAAAAATGGGTAAATACTTTACTATGTGGAAAGCGGAAGTATAAATCTTTAACACAGGCCATGTTCCAAATTCTTACAGTTTGAAGTGATAGTGCTGATGATGATGACGATTTTGTTCTTTGTTTGTTGTTCTTCTTCTTGTTGTTGAAAGGAGTATCATAGTAAATGACACTCTTAATTAGAAACTAACCCTAAATTTATTTTCCTAGCTTGTAACACAATTTATTAGTAAAAGGGGACCAGTTATTAGAAAAACCGGTGTAGCGTAAAATTCGCCAGACCCGTGAAAAAAGTAAGATCTTACAAATCTCATGGGCACCAGTTACATCCACAGAAGAGAACCAGCGGCAATTATTCAATCACATACCACTTTTTTCTGGTGGTGGCCAATCACGTCGATCTCTAAAAGGTCAAAATGGTTGGCCAATTGAAATATAACTTTTCAATTCAAAATGATTTCAAGTGTAGAGTATTCTTCTTAGCTATGGTCTCTAGCCCGGAACCCTCGGAATACCGTATTGTTGCTCTTTCGACTGAGTTCTACCGCTTACACACTATCTCCCCTAATTAAATTATTGTACAGTTCAATACCGTGACATAATCATTTTCTTTTTATTTGTATGACGTCAGTAATTGTATTGTTAATAACTTACGTGTGCAATAACCTACAAGCCATTACCCTGCCGATTATTTATGATAAATAACATTATAGATAATTCATTTTGTTATATAACTAGCATTTTAACGTATCATTAACTTCTTTTTATAAGCCTATTAAAATGTGACTGATGAGATAGTCCCCTTGTTATGTAAAACTTATATAATAACATCATCAAACATGAGTCAGGTGACGAGTGTTATACAAGTATTAAAATTTTAATACAACTATTCAATAAGAATTTAAACACAGCTATTCATTAAATATTCATGGATAGACAAAACTGCATGATTTGATAAAAAAAAAACTTACTTTCATGAAGTGTGTTGCGTTTAGCACGAAATAAAATTCGCGAAAACAATGCAACACGATTAAAACATTACATAACATACGTTTTTACGTTACTATCACTATGAAAATTTAATCAATGAATGAATATTCGACGGAACAGGCCACGTCGGCGATAACTAGTAAAAGAATACGTATCCATGTACATAGGTTGTTCAAAGACACGTTTTTGCAAATTAAACATTCTACACTTTGGAAAACATGAAAAGAACATGTCACATTTTATACTTTAAGAGATACATTTGTCTTTAGCGACAAGAACCAATCAACTTGGTGATTTTCTTTTAGTCTATCCATGAGTTTTTATCGTCATAATTTCACAATATCGACACTATTGAATGGTTGTGTTGGCTGCGTCGTATTTGCGAGGGCCTATTTACATTGCCGATGGATGGCGTCTATGGCTTCGATGGCTCGATCACAATTGAACAAATGTTAATATTTTATTTTTAACCTAAGCTCTGTGCAATATTTTTGTGTGTTCAGCAAAAGGGGAGGTTAGGATCATGTTCAATGCACGATAGAGTAGGCAGATATTTACTTTACGGTAAAAAATTCGCTTGTTATGTCTCAACGAAAACACACAAGAAAATAAATAGTAGAAGTTCTAGCATCGTCATTTTCGGTATTTCGTATCAATGATGCATTCGAAATGATGTGAAAACACAAGATCTGAGTTTTAGATTTTGTCCAAAATAACGAGAATAATATCAGAACTTATCAGATATCCTTAGTTTATGATGTTAAAATAAGTGTCTAATATATTATATGATTATTGAGGTGTACAATTAATATATAATTTATATTTTTTATAAATGTTTGCACTTTGAACATGTATTTATAAAAGAAATGGTCTTACTAACTGCGTAGATGTTGGTTTTAGAAATTGAGTTCACTTTACCAAAACACGACATATGTTTGTTTAGAAACTCATACACCTTAAAGTGTTCCATTTTTCAAGATTAATAACACTACAAGAGATTATTTTTTCATTGTTATATATATATCTATATGACTTTGCATGGAAAACTAAAAACTAACATATGCAAGTGAACCAGTCTTACTTCGGCAGTATAATTATCTTATCTAAGATACTTCTTGTTTGTTCTGGATTTTAAATCAAATTCAAATACGAGATGGACAATGTAGTAGCGTGAATAAGAACAACAGGAAACACCTATTTTAGTTCGGGTGAATTTATCGTCTGTTTCGGTTATAGTTTATTTTAAAAACTTTTTCATGTACTGATTTATTAATGACCGTCTGCTACATATGAATTAGGCGTAAAATGGTGATGTATTACCAAACTTTGTGATCGAATATGCCTATTTTTGTCATCTCTGTACCATTTGAGTGACAGATCGTTAATTTTCGACATTTTCCGATGATCCCGCCGAACTTGTGTGATACTTCTTGTTTGAATTTCTTTTGTTATATCAACTATGCCTGGGTTCATAACATAAGCGCTATTTCATACTCGATCATGTTTTATTAATTTGGCGAACAGAAGCACATAAAAAAATCGACAGACTGGAACCCAGGCTATAATATATCATATATAAGTCAATTACATATTTAAATTTAATATATTTAATTTTATTATCAAAAATCATCATCATAATTATGTTATCTTATTTACGTCATGATGAATCGTTCAAGGTGAATAAAAGTGTTGAACTTTGAACAATAATATGTTACTTTTTAAACAGATTGTTAAACTTTAAAAATGTTTTGTAACCAAAGAATAAACTTGAAACACATTTAAACGATGATGGGTGTAATTAATATGGTGTAAGAAATGCATCATGTAGGCACTCGTTTAAATGTACATAAAAACATATATCAAAATAAGTGTACTTTTTAAAAGTCTAAATTGTTAAAATGTCTCAAAATGTCCGTCTGAATATACGCCTAGTGAAGCTAAACTGTTTTAATTTACTCCAGACGATAGCTGGTGCAACTGACTCCCAAGTACGTTAATAGTTATTTCCTCGAGCGTGATTGGTCAAACGTTATAACAGCTGTTACATTTTACTCCCCCGTTTTGCTTTTAAAAATAGATTATTTGTCCAAAATTCGAAATAATAGATGTATAATCAGAATATGTTATATGGAGGTTAGCTGTTCGGGTTTTAAAAGGGAACTACTAAGAAAACGATCTTCAGCTGACACGAAACAAATTTTATTTTTGTCGGTCTGTATACATTTCGAAAAGTAAAAGAAAATATAAAGGGAGGCAACTTTTTGTTGCGCGTGTATTTATAATCAGGAGGATATAATACCAGACAAATCGGTGACACTCTCAAGTTTGATTATTCTCTCAGCATAAAATACACATGTACGCTTAAACATCACAATATTCCATCTATTAATAGATCAAAAAGCTTGTCCATTCTGCAATTTGTGTCGCTATCCGTGCCAATCGGTCAACACGTTTATTGATCATGGTCATCATCCTGGCGCATATTAAGTCTCTGTGATACACGGGAAGAAGCGACAAGGACCGTTGTCTCGTGAATGGTGAATATAATTTTCAAAAACGGCAATGTCTAACTTTAGCAAAGATATTATTGATAACATCTTCGTTGAGGGAATGTGTTACAATTTATTTCAATAAATAATGAATGGACAATTTTAATACAAATTCAACAATAACAAAATCTACACTCAAATGACAAATTGACAACATGAAACGATAGATAGACGCACACAGCAAAAAGCATTACGCGGAAAAAAGTAGTTCTTGAGAGACAAATGACCAATCACCAGTTCTCGTCACATGACCTGAAACAAACAATATAAAACGATATTACTACATTTGTATTATATACAATGATATATAACATATAACATCGTTCTTAGAACGCTTGAAGTTGTGTTTTACAACTTTTGTTGTCGTCGATATCAATAACACAACAATATTATCTTCTGGAAAGCAATTAATAGCTTCTTATTATGCTATGGGCCCTGAGGTTACATAATTAAATAAACACCTCTTTTTTGTTTGTTTTGTTTTGTTCGTTACTTTTGCTCTCTTTTTTTCATCTGTTTTCTTTTATCAAATTTACAGAATTTCCGATTTATAAGAGTTTTTCCCCCTATCACGAAACTTTAACATGGCACGGAAATAAATAATATCGATAAGATTAAAATGTCCTTTATTTCAAAAATGATAAAATTTCAAGTGAATATATATCCAGCTAATTAACTAATCTAGGGAAATATATTCTTATGTCAGAAAAGTACAGGTAAAAATATATTTATAAAAGTTTAATACTGTTCTTAAAGGGGCCTTCAGCTTTTCTAAAAGTTAAATATGTTATTTTCAGACAAATCGTTTCATGTAGTTGACAAAACAAAAAAAAATAGATAGAAAAAAGAAATTTGCCGACGATAAAATGCATAAAAATTACGAAACCCCTATCTACCGGTTTAAATAAGCGGACGATTTGTTTCCCGATCTTCTATTTTTAGAAACGAACGTCACTGATGCTCTCTGGACGCTGTTTAACAGTTATATGATGCACTTTTCCAAGATAAAATTATTGAAATATTTAATTTGAAACAACAAAGAATTGCTTTTCCAACACAAAAAAAAAATGAAAGCTGAAGGCCGCTTTAACGCGGTAGAAAAGAACATTTATTAAAATAGACGTAAATTACGCGGTTAAAAAGTGTGTTTGTTTGAGGGATACTTTGACTTATGTACATGACAATGGCCTAATCTATATAGAGAAGACTGGTGTATTGTTAATATGCAAAGTCATTTTTAATATGGTATATAGGTAATATGCGTGAATGGATCATTATAGCGAAATAGTTGATCATGATTTCGCTACTTACATTTTTAAAAACATATTTACATAAAAGTAAAGACCTTTACTGTAGGACGTTAACCTTTAAAATGAAATATTGATGCATAATTGAGAAAAGTTTTGTTTAATATAAATGTGTTTTTTTTTCCTCAAGTGAAGCGTTTACCTTAAAAATATAGAAAAATGAAGATTGCGTTGCCACATCACCCCTGTTAGTGTTTTTGGTATAGCCAATCAGATTCTAAGAAATTATTAAATTAAAAAACAGAATAATCTTGGTTCGTGTAACTTTCTGTCTTAGCAACTATGACGGAATCTTATCTAAGAAAAATAATACACCAATCAAAGATACTCTGTTGAACACATATAAAATAGTCATATCTCGCTGTGTCACGTGATATTTACAAATTACATTGTAGATAAGCGTTTATTTCACCCGGAACACAAAATCATTATCAAATAGCTGTTTTTTAAATTAATATACAAACGACGGATTGAGACGAAGAATGCCGAATTTTAACGACGAATTTCGAATTTTTACGAAGAATGTCGAATTTTTACGAAGAATGTCGGTTTTTTTACGAAATATGTCGAATTTTTACGAAGAATGTTGAATTCTTACGAACAGTTGATGGATGTAAAGTTAAAAATAGTGTAACATAAAGGTTTTTCACCAAACAGAGACAATCAGTCAATCACCCAAAATACAAAACCGTCTTTGTGCAGGACCTTGCGGGCATGTTTGGTGACGTAATCATTGACACATTGTGTATTGCTGCGTCTGTCCGATGAATTCATTGCGTTTATTTTTTTGCACTGTATGTAATAATTCTGTCTAATTCGTCATTAATAGAAAGTAGTCCCCGCTATTAACTGATGTATGAGTAGTATATACATGTAGTGTAGGTATTTCTAATTTAGATAGATGTACCACATATGTTTGATCTACCTTTTACTTTTTTTAGTTTACTTTAATCATATTTTATTACACATACATATAATTTAACAATAATACAGGATTTATTTTCATCTTGTGGTATGAAAATTATCATATTTCACTCGTGGCTACTGCCACTCGTGAAATATTTATTTTCATACCACTCAATGAAATTTGATTTCTGTTTTTTTTATAGAAGAAACTTGAATATCCTCTATATGTAGTCCTGTCTTTAGTACATGCAAAATAATATTTTTGAACATCTGTGATATGTTGTATACACGTGACAGGTTTATTCTTCATGTTTATGTTTAAAAATGATATATATAACTATGTTTTAGTCAAAATACTGTCTGTTCTGTTGTTTATTGCTTAATGATATTTGCTTTTACTGTGTTAAAACAGAATGTCTTTTCATGCTCATTTACTTTTCTTGTCGGAATTTACCGTGAGCGAAAGTCGTTCAAAGCCGCTCTTTGACCATTAAGAAGATAAAGGACAGATAGCAACATAAAATATGGATATACAAACAAATAAAACACGAAATGTTGTGCTTTATCATGGTGTAAAATGAATGTTCCTGTTTGGTGTAATTGTACTTTAATAAAGGTCATTCAATTTTTGAAAACGACAAACAAGCATGCCATTTAGAGACACGTTGTTAAACTAACGTTTAGTATGATATATCTTTTTTATTGGTAACAAAAAACGGTGTACAAAGGTGACAGATTAAAGACTTCATGTTCATAAAACAATTATTAACAGCAACTCACAAAATAACAAACACAAAATGGTAATTAAAATACCATGTTTTCCTATCTTTTATATTTCTATAAACACGATTTCTTGCTTCTGTAACATCAATTAGTTTTTCATTGACACGCTTTCAAATTATTAAAGACTCCTTTGGGTCTATTTATGCTTTTATATCAACAAAATTTAACAACTAAGAAATTGTTTCTTACATGTCCGGTATTTGCAAATCATTTAATGTGTTTCACTTATGCAATACTTATACAAGTATTTAATTTACACGTATATGGCGACAAAAACGTCACACAAATGGCGCAACAATCATATCACACGTAAAATTAGACGTACATATATAAGGAAATGATATAATCAATATAGTAATTGATTAGTTAATTACTTAGATAAAAGAATGATAAATAAAAAGAACGAGCCCATTCATTGTATCTTGTTCGTACATTTGTATTGAAATGTTCAGGGGAAAAAGCATGTGACGTTATCGGAATGTCCTTAACACATATTTAAATTGTTATAATAGCTGCCTCTTTTTTGCTTGATAGAATGTTGTAGATGAAACAACAAGACTGAAAAATGCTGAATCATTCAATGTTAGCATTAAAAAATCATACCAGCAAAAAAGAGAAATACTTTATATAAAGAAAAAAATAATAAATGCCCATTAGCGAAAACATTGTTTATACTGAAGTCGATCATTTAATTAATTGAAATGTCTCGCCTTCTACATAATGCTTTTTTTCCAGTTGTGTAGATCATTTATAATAGTTTGTGGGCTAATTTGAAGAATTTCTTTTAACTTACCAACGACCACGTGGAGGAAACGTTTACGTTCTAGGTTAATTTAAAGAATGGTTTCTTAACTTTTCAACGACCACGTAGTTGAAATGTGTTTGTTCTAGGATCATCCTTTTCTTACCAACGACCACGTGGTTGTAATGTGTTCGTTCTAGGCTAATCCTTAACTTATTAACGACCACGTGGAAATGTGTTCGTTCTAGGCTAATCTTAAGACTTTTTCGTAACGTACCAACGACCAGGTGGTTAAAATGTGTTCTTTCTAGACTTATTTAAAAAATATTTTCTTAACTTACCAACGACCACGTGGCTGTAGTGTGTTCGTTCTAGTACCGTCCGTAAGTCACACAGCAAGCTTTGATTCCCCATCTACGAACTGCTGTTTCTCCACAAGCTCTGGGCCACAAGTAACGGAAAGCATACTCCTCGTAACGCGGTGCGTGGTATACACATCGTCTTCGGCATACATATGTGTAACATATACCTGAAAAATAATCAATAAAACGTTTGTCTCGGATTCTTGGCCACTATAAAGTGGTGGGTTGATACTATAATATGCATTTACAACGTATAATGCGACTTGTCATGATTAAAAAAAAGAAATATTATCGTTATTCATATTAAAGATGTCGGATGGGAGTAACCGGAAGTGATCAACAGTGCCCAACAGTTAATGAAGATTTCATTTAATTTCTGATATTGTATGAACCGCTTGAATGGAGATCAAAGGAAATGAAAAACAGTTTTTATTAAGAACAACAATTTGAATAATCATAATTAAGTAAACAAAACAGAAAAAAATCTTTTTTTTTATAGAGACAGCTTTTTGAACGCGCACGTCATAAACATGATTGTTTAAGCTGCTTTACATGCACGACTTGTGCATATATTTTGTCATTTGTAAATGCATTAAATTGTGATGTTAAACATCATTATTTTTCATGTTCCATTTGTTATTATTTGATTGTATGCAGCTGTCTTGATAAAAATATAATTTAGTGCATGTTTAACGTGAGTTTACATTCCGCGGATTCTACGGTATCTTTAAGGAGTCATTGAGTATAAAGAGAAAAGCTGATAGCACACGTAAAGTTTTGGCGACGAACGTTTCGAAAAAATACTTGAATCATTTTCGGATTTGCGTGCTTGAAGTTTACAAAACAATAGTCTAATATGTATTCAGCAAAGAGATTGTTTTGTTTTGCATTATTGTCATTAGTATGGTTGTAATGTTATATCACACGCCGCTAAATGTTACTGTATATGACTATATTAAGAAATAATTGATTATCGAGCAAACGGTCTTCCGTAGATAATTCTAACGCTCGAAAACCCCATAATGCACGTTTGAAGTACATGTGTAAACGTCTCCGTTACTGAAATAAATCAAATAAAGATACGTGTTTGCACTGACTTAGCAAAATAAAAAAGTACAATACAACTGTATCGTCGCGCAAATTATGGCTAGAAATTTTGCACTGTGTGAACTATAATTTAGAAAGGCTCTTGTGTCTGTTTTTGTACGGAAAACCTAAGATGACACTGTACTCATTTTGGTTTTGTTGTCAAGTACAAGTATAGTTTTGTTTACTTATATATTTGGTATACACAACATAATAGTTGGCTATGCGTTTATACCCAAAAAAAGCAATTCGCAGTAACAAAATTTATGTTTTATTTAAAGGAAAAAGAAAACATGTTTGTATTATGTCACTTGAGGGACTCCTTACCTAACAATTACAATTAACATCTTTTCGACGTTTATTACTTATTTCCGTTAAAAAAGAAAATCCACTCAATTGAAAATGAATGATTGTTTAAAAATGAAATGTGAACGTATGATTTGTTTAAACGTTTCAACACTAATGACTTGTTATTACAGTGTATTTAAGTATTTTTGTTTTTTATTTCCGTAAAGTTCCTTGGATAATCCAGAATCAGTAAAAACGGTATTCCTAAAATTAAAGAAGGCTAAAACTGCGCGGTTCCATCACTTAAGATGAAATTTCAAATCGTATGATATAATAGAGTAATGAAAAAGAAAATGGATATTTTAAATAAAATATGACTTCTGTTTAACCCTTATTACACTAAATGTCTTAAATGGACTTGTCCATCTCTCAATCCGGACGAAATCATTCTTCATTTTAAGGGAAATTTCAAAATAAGTAAACTGTGTAGAGGACGATCAGACGGCACGTATGGGTAGGATGCAAACTTAGGGTTCAAAATAACTTTAATATTAGGTAAAAATCCCAAGAGTTGTGAAAGGGGCAGACAAAGGAGCGTGTGAAGAGATTAAACTTTTAACTAAAACTGCGCAGTAAAGAACAGTCTAATGATTTTTCATTCTAATAAATTTATATACACAAAAAGAACACATTTTGGAAATGATAAATAGCAAAAGGGTTGTGTCCAAGTTCTTATAATATGAGAGATCAATCCTCCCCCCTCCCACTCCCAATTCTTAGTTCTGTAGATTTGAACTTATCTAAATGCAATACAACTGAATAAAGAAGTCAAAATAGTATGTCAAAAATAAAAGAACAAAAGATTGTTAAAAGTGAAACGAAATGTTATTTTGAAATATTAAGTATTTGTAGGCCTTCAAACAGAGAGTATTGATTAATCACAAGAATAATAAGAAATAGTATTGACAAAAACGATGTAATAAGAAAATCATGGAATATCAAAATAAATCGTCACGTAAGAAATTCTATATTTTCTGACGTCATCAACTTTCAACATAGAACATGACAAATTATTCCCATTAAAATGATAAATTATAACAGTCAGTCTTTTGAAATATATATAGCCAATTAAGCTCAACTTGGCAAAGCAAAAATGGGCATAATGTCACTTTAATGTCTTGCTTAAACAGATAATTATAAGTAGATATACCATTTATATATATGCATGGTCAAATAATGATAAAGAATCAAACATAAAATGTATTGCATTTTATAAAACTGTACTGTACAGCATTTCGTTGGATCTAAACCTTAAAGGATATGACAATAACTTTTGGCGCTTTATTGGTGTTTTATAAAAAAATATTTTCAATTAAATGAACCTTTTGTTTTAACAAAAAAGGATTACAATTTTTGGAGCATGAATGTTTTTACGTCAAATTTGCCAAAAAAAAAATTTTTAAAATTTTTCACATTTTGTTTTTAAAATGAATCTAAACTAACTTTAACCCCCGATTACTATTGCCGGTTAATAGTAAGGGGCCCAACTGCCATCAAAAATTTTATGAGAGAAAAACTCGCACAATCGATGAATAGTTAGCGTATGTTATAAATATTATATGTTTGTATGAGATTTTCGTTCGTCCTGATTTTTACTCATATTATAACAAAATTTCATTCAACACGTGTTTGTTATTGTTGTTGTTGTTGCTGCTGCTGCAGTAGAACTGAACGATAAAACACTTTAAAGGAGCGCGCAATCAGAACCCTACTGAGAATTATGCAACTCCAAAGGTATTCAAAACTCAATAAAATCCTACTGTTAGGTGGAAAAATAAAGTTACTTTTAGCTAGTCTGAGGCATTCCATACAAAATCATATGATGTGTCAAATTCTGCAAGAATTGCGTTTACTCCGTTAGTATCAGCGTTGAAATATGGTGATAAAGAACAACAGTTAAATCACCAGTAAAAACATGCAAAACTTCATAAGAACGATGAATAACTATTTAAAAATATTTTATACATTCATATTGGAATAATTGATCTACCTTATATACACTCTTATTGGAATACTTGATCTCTCTTATTTTATTAGTTATAAAGATTGTTGACAGGTTATATGGCCCTATATAAACGGCTATTTGTAAATATAATCCGAGCCGCCAGGCGAGGGTTATATTGCAATCAGCCGTTTATATTTGGCCATATAACCTGTCAAAAAAAATCTTTATAACGAATTTATAATACAGCAAGCATGATTTTTTAGAGAAAAAAAGTAAGATTTCTTCATGAATCGACAGCAACCGTGTATATGAAACTATATAAACGTCACGATTATCCAATGAAAAGCGACGTTTCAAACGTGCAGCATTATAAACATTCTTATAATTGAACTCGCTTATATGCATTCTTACTGGAATAATTGATCTCGCTTATATACATTCTTATTGGAATAATTGATCACCCTTAACAGAACAAAACGGATTGGCTATTAACAAGTAGTATCCAACAGTACAGAATAAAAACACATTTTATGCTGATGCACGAGAAAGTAATATACCTATTAATTAAAAAACATCACCTAGATAATTTCAAATAAAGTCCTAAACAGTGTAATGAAACAAAGGCTAGAATCTACATGTAATACATTTAGAATCATACATTACAATCATTTAACTAAAATAATGTTTGCCAATCTGTCATAATAAATAACTTTTAATTACCTAATCAAGCAAAAATTCATAGAAAAAGCATCAAGAATAAGACATTAATTACTAATTCAAGTGTGAACAGTTTGCGAGGAAAGAGAACATACAGTCATGTGTATGGTTAAATAAATTACAATTAGATCCTATACTCATCAAAGTTGGAAAGTTCCTTTTTATCATAATATCCACTATTAATGAAACACGTGAGTTTACACCTCATATGTATCATTTTATCAACAAGATGAAAACAACAACAAAAACATTTGTTATGTATGCGAAATCTACAACAAAACGCGCTTTATCTTTCAGAAGAACAAATATTACGAGTTTTAAACTTTCTGTATTCAGCAATTTAGCAATATACTTTACCAAACTAGCCATTAATCATATAATTCAAAGAACACATTAAAGCATCTTGAAAATATCAATAAAATTTGAAAAAGGGAAAAGTTAAATTTTAAATTTGGAAAAAATATAATCACCTTCGACTTGGGTCATCTGAAGTGCCAAGATGCCACAAAGCACCAGGATTATCAAAGACTTGGAATTCATCTTGCGGAGGGATGTAAGTTTAATCCTTGGGTTTGCACTTTCAGCTAACCGCTTCCTTTAATAAACTGGACGTTTACCTTATGAAACATCAACTCTTATGTGGACAATTGTATGGGTCGGTGAAAAAATACCGTAAATGATCCAAAAGCATTCATTACGATGTTTTAGTCTTGCGTCGAGAATAAAACCTGTCAGTACCGTTCTTCAGTTGAACGGAGACGTCAATCAACGTAAATTGCGGCGATGTACCGTAGACAATAACATAGAAAACAACGTCAAATATCATTAATATTTTTTGACAGCTGGTCAGAACGTGCAGGTAAAGCATACTTGTCAACAAAACGCGTAGAGGTTTGAGGGTTGGCCACAACGTTCTGATACCAACGTAAATTTCTAATAACGTTTTAATCAACTAACATCATTGGTTAATAAAACTGACAGTCGTCACTTGGTTGGTTTTAACCCCAAAACATGAATAATCTTACGCAATGTAAAACCACAATACTTACAAATTATCTAATTAATCGTTTAGGATTAAAATGCAGAAGAAAAAAGTAAAATGTATAAAAAATAAGATGGAAAGCATGGTTGTAAAGTTTGAACGTGTGAGATAAATAAATGGTTAAGTAACGTATATATTTTTTTCTGAAGATACGTCTGTTATATACACGTGTAAATTTAATTGCGTTTATATATTTTTATCCCTAACACTATAATATCATTTTTTGTTGATTTGAAATAACATTCTAAAATAATTACTATCGTCATTAAAATGTAACGTAACATTGTCTTTGTTTGTTTTAACTCATTGAAAATTTAGTATTGAAAATGTATTGTTTATGCATTTCTATCAATCTATTATCGCACTATGTATGATTATGTACTATGTACAAGTCAAAATAAAATAATGTTCTGTTCTGTTTTGTTCTGTGACCAATAACGCAACTTTGTTAAATATATGCCGTATCGCCTCTAAGTGATTTTTGTTTGATTGTTGTTTTTTTTCTTCATAATGTTGGGGTTTTTTTTCCTTTTTTTTTCTACGCTTTTGTTTTTGTTCTTAAAAAACACCTTTGTTCGTATTTTGTGTATACTCCAAGACATGTATGTACTCTTTTAAAATCAAAACACTGCTTAAAGAAGTATGGTATAAAGCGTTATTCACTGAGGCGTTCTTTGGTCTTTGAAGACTGCAACTTTCATTTAATTTTTTCCAAAAAATTAAATATGTAGTTTTTTTTATCTCATTTTCTAACGAATTACGTTTTTATAAACAGTATTGTTATTATCATTATTATACTTTATCATGATAATTTTTATTGGTTTATCACTTCAACCACAACCAAGGAAAACATCATCATCACCATCAATATCATCACCATCGGCATCACTATCATCTTCATCATCGTCATCATCTTCTTCCTCATCAATATCATCATCATCACCATACTATCATCATCATCTTTATCACCATCATCATCATCATTATCAATTTCATCACCATATTTATCTCTATCCTCATCATCATCTTTATCACTATCATCATCATCATTTTCACCATCATCATCATCATTGTTTTTGCGTATATCTTGTTAGAACTGAGCTCAAATGAAGATAAGGCTGATCTATCTAATTACAATGATGATATTTTATTGTTAAGGCATCGCACAGAGGTTATCAAAAGATGACGGGCGTGTTTATTATAGCTATCATGTAAAAGCTAGAATAGAAAATATGTTCACAATAGTCAAATTATTAAAAGAAAAATATATACAGTTATCGCGTAGAGTGGTGTATTAGGTAAAGATTCTAAATAATAAAAAAATCGTCAAGAAATAAAATCTTAAAACATACAAAATTTATTTAATAAATTTAATAAAAATGTGCGGCTTTCAGGAACGTCGTTGTTTAAGTCCGATCGTGAAGTACATTATTATTATTGAACTCTAACCATGCTAAATATTTAATGAACTTGTCCATCTTTAAATTTAGACAAAACCATTATTGATATTAAGAGAACATTGAGAACAAAAATTGACTGAATAGCGAGCCGTGCAGGCGGCGCGGACGTGCCTGGCTCATGTTTGTCTGTATTAATTGCAGGGGGGAATTCAGATGCCACTAGCAGATTTAGCTAGGGTTCCATAAATCACACATCACCTTAATTCGCTTCTTGGACTTATCATTTGTTGTTGTTGCATGATGAAATATATAGCCTTGTCCCTAGTTGGGCTCGGACCAACGACTTGAACTGAACCGTAGCCATACACCCATCCCTCCTTCTTGTATTTTAGGTCTTACTGTATAGAGTTTAAGCGTTGTTGTATCAAAATGACGGAATCTACTTCCAAAAGTTTAACCTTAAAACGTGAATTCTTTTTGTGCAGTCTTCAGCAAATGTCACTGTTTCCAAGCGAGTTTTTAAATGGGCGTAAACAATTAAAACACGCGCCAATGTAAAAAGCGATCCTAGCGGCTTTACGCGGAAGTGGACGGAAATAGAATCACGATCAACACATCCGCTTTTCGTGTAGAGTCAAAATATTCGTTTCTTTGAAGTTTCAAAAGACATTTGGAAAGGACAATAAAATTGAAATGAAAAGGAATGTTTGAATTTTTACGACAATAAAATGTTACTTTAACACATTTGAAAGCATGGTTAAATGACGCAGGTGAGATATTAAAGTAAATTTGTGTCAAATGAAGCAATTGATGCAATAGAGGTGTAAATGTATTTGAAGAATGAAGCTGATATGATCATTTGGCACTATGTCTTAGAGGTCGAAAGAATGTCAACTCAAGGACATATAACCCCTACTTTACTGACATTGTCTAATGGACTTGTCCTACCTTGAATTTGGTATTGTTCATTGTTACTCTGAGGAATTTCAATAAAATCAACAAAATACGTTATCGGTTGACCTACACAGAGTATGGTCAGCCTGTACGGAGATACCGTCCTCCTAGTTATTATCTCTGATAAAGTACTCAATTGGCTATCTTAAGGGGAGTGGTGACCTAGTGATTAAGGTGTCTGCCTCTCAACCCAGAGACCATGGGTTCGAGCCCTACTCGGGTCACGACCATCTTTCTTCATATGACACCAGTACTGGTTGGTTCCGGGAAGCGGACTAGAAAGTGATTAATATAAGGTGCAAGAATTTGTTTCGCGATCGAGCTTAAATAAATATATGTTTAAACCAATTGGCTATCTTATAATAATCGATGTCCCGTTTTTAAGCACAGCGTGGTAATATGATCGAAGCACGTTGAATTAAAACGTTCTAACTTATTAGTGATGTGGCCGTGCAGGTCGTGGCTTACACATTATTTCCAAAAAAGTGAAAAATTAAAAATAATGCTTTTTGTTTACTGGCAATTTTTAATGATCCCCTTAAAAATCTTAGAACTAGATATACGCCAAAGCGCTTTTAAGGCAATCCAGAGATAAACAATTGAGGAAGGACGTGTACAGTAACATCTGTGTTAAAGACCACTTCCGAATAAAGAGCACACGGTCAATAAAGGCCTTTTCTCAACAACCATTCATTGATATAAAACAACAGAAAAACCTCAAAATAAAGACCATTTGTCTAAAAAGGCCACTTTTAGTATCTCCATTGGATGGCCTTTGTTTACAGGTATGGCTGTACTCGGAAAATTATATTCATATATTAATCTATGTTCCTGATAAAACGTGCGGTATACTCGTATAACGGCTCTGAGGAACATGATATATTGAACACTGGTCTTTCATTACAGGGTTGACTGTATATAAGGGTGGTCATTCGGTACATTATAATTCATCAAATCTGAATAAAACTGTGATCCATTAGCAGAGATTGCTCGAATAAATCACTGAAAAATTTGCGTTTTATGTAAAATATAGACAACAACGTTTTTTACTTCTGTAAGTAATTCAAATAAATTAGCATACCAGTTCGTTTACTTGTACATTTTTTGTAAAAAAATAAAGTCCTTTCATCATGAAAATGTGGTGGTAGGGGAAGATACACTTAGGAAATACATGAAAATATACATATGTTTGTTTGATCTTGAATTCATGCAATGTGAATAATCTGCATAAAAAGCAAACATTATCATCACAAGTATGTTTTTAACAAATATAATATTAACCGAAAAGTAATGTTTTGATGTCATGTATACATATACTTATTGTCACATGTTTACTTTATCGAGGAGAATTAACACCAAATATTCATTTTTGCGCACCCATTTAATAAATTCACATCTATTAAAAAAGTATACTCATGTTAAGTCAGTCATGGCGTTCCATAGAATGAAATTAGTTATTCTCGTTTTCCTTAACGTCGGTAACTACATAACATAATGTAATATGTAAGGAATATATACCGTGGGTAACCGATTACATAATGTAGCATGTACGGAATATGTACCGTGGGTAACTGATTACATAATGTAGTATGTACGGAATATGTACCGTGGGTAACCGATTACATAATGTAGTATGTACGGAATATGTACAGGGGGTAACCGATTACATAATGTAGCAGGTACGGAATATATACCGTGGGTAACCGATTAGGTAATGTAGCATGTACAGAATATATACCGTGGGTAACCGATTAGATAATGTAGTATGTACGGAATATGTACCGTGGTTTATCGACGATGCGCCTTCCTTAATGCTTGCGATGACTTAATAAGGATTATTGTTAGGAGTCTAGACAAATTACAGGGACGTGCAGTCTAATCCGAAATGCACTTAGCAAATACATGTGGCAAGGCTCGTCAATGATTAAAGCAAAATACTTTTATTCCAAGATGAAAATATGTACTTTAAAGGAGTGTGTTAAAAACTCCCGTGCAGTTTTCCGGCGACAACAAACATATACAAACGTATGTTGAAACAATTATGAGCAAAGCAATTATTATAAGCCACCAAATGATGACTTGATCGAATATTTCTGTTTAAAAAAAATTGTTTTTAAATAATCAATAATCAATTGTTTAAAGTAATGAGTTTAATTCATTTTTCTGTAAAAATCATTTTGATTAAATTTACCCTGGTTATAAAAACTCAGGTTTCATTGATATATTATAAACAGTAACCACTGGGTAAATATATTATGAAACAGGAACAAACAGTTAATTCATTCAGC